AAAAAAAAAAAAAAAAAAAAAATTTGATTTCAATATGTTAAGGTATCATAGAGATTAGATGGCAAACTCAAAGATAATGTAACATGTTAGGTATGTTGAACTAAATATTTTATCGATTGATATGCTACGTATTGTTGACCTGTATAGGACACGTTAGTTTTAGATACTTTATTTTTAACTTGGTGTTGTAGTACAAAAATGTTCATTTTTGGTATGAACTATTACATCACAAGTGTTGTCTCACATATTTGTTCATATTATTTAGATTCTAATACTTGAGTTCGCTCTGAAGAGAGTATATAATGAAGAATAGTGTATGCTAAATTCTACTATGTGAGTATGTGAAGTTCGTACTACTATTTATAAGAGATGATGGATTGTTATATGATAAGAAGCTCGTTCATTGTTGGAGTATGTTCTCTTTTGATCATATAGTTCTAGATTGTGTAAACTTTTTAAACTTTCTATATGTTATCTGTAAATCTCTCTCTTTATTTAGGGCTTGTGTGGGAGGGATTAAAATCAGATTAAAATTGAAAATATAGCCGTTATTGTTGACTTTTATTAGACGAGTGGGGTCCAATAACTGCCATATTTTCAATTTTAATTGGCTTTTAATCCCTCCCGAACAGGGCCTTAAAATATATTAGGCCATGCTAATTCATTAGAAGAATTTCTCGATCATGTTCAAAGGGTCTCTCCATATGTCTACTTTGATTGAATTGGAAGTAATAGATATACCTATAGTATTCTAAAAAGCGACATCTAGACGCTCCTAGGCTTAGCCTAAGCATGAAGCGGGAGCAAAATGTCTCGCTTCGAGCTTTTTCATATTTTTTCACGTCTCAACGTGCCTAGTGCGAGCTTTTTTAAAGGCTTTTTAATGCATTTCAATGCTTTTTTACTCTTTTATTTTTCTTTTAATTATTAAATAATTTTTATATTGATTTAAAAATTTAAAATAATATTAAAATAAGACAAAAAACTTTTTTTTACGCTTTTTAATGCCTAGACTTCGTCTAAACTCGTCTAGGTCGAAGCTTGACCTCTACGCTTCGTCATGGTTTACACTTTTTAGAATATTGTTTAATTGAGCTTGTCCGAACCATTATCTAGCTGGGATATCAAGATAAACCTTTTGATTATTCTCGTGATTTATTTAGAGAAAATTAGTGTAATTACTTGTCACTTCAACTTTAAAATTAATCTACCTTTAAAAGAACCAACATTTATTTGGAAAATCAACATATTCAAACCAGAATAACTAGCATTAATTATATTGGAAAACAAATTATAGCACTCTTTTGTGCGATTTCTTAAAAGGACTACTGCACCATTTTATGATTAGTAACTTCAAAATTGACTCCAATTAGTGTTATATGTGTTAATTATCTAATGTATAACAATTGACCTTCTCAACTTCGGCCCGTTTAGTATAAAAGAAAAATTGAATTGTTCAAGTAGTGAAAAATATTTATGTAAAACATAATTTTTAATCAAAACAAATTTCATTTTAATACTTCTTTTTTTCTTGACACAAAATTTCAATTTAGAATGCACTAATTATTCGTGCTAAAGAAAGTTGCCTCAAAACTTTTATCGCCAAATCTTGGGTATAAGCATGGGAACTCGGAGTATTGAGTGTTGATTTGGGTGAATGTCTAGACATAAAACAGATGAAAATATATTTATATCCTTTAAAAATTAATACGATTACTATCCTCTAGGATATTGAGTACAAAGTGACAAATACCACATTTTATGTGACAATAATTTTTTTTTTGTTTTCGCTATTCGAATAAGTTGATTAACTCGACTCGTATGATCTTATGTTGATTTCTTGTGATGAGGCATTCCCACCTTCCTCTTAGAGGTTGGAGAACTTCTCTTTGACTCATTTTCCATATACCCTTTTTCCAACCTAAAATGACAAAATGAAAATAAATAACATTGCCATACTTGAAAATACCATCCATCTCCAAAAGTAGTTACATCTAGGGCTGTCAACAGATTGAATTTTGATCAGAATCCGACGAAATTAATGGGAGATGGATTTAGGATCTCAGTCTGATAACCCGATCAAGATCCATATCCGATAATCCGTTAACTAAATGGATCATATATGAATATATGTTAATTCGATTCGATAACAATCCGATTTGATTTGTTATAAATAATTTAGTAAGTAAAATATTTTTATGACATATTAATTGTAACTAAAATAAATAAATTTAGAATAAAAAGGTAATCAAATTCAAAATATAAAAAATTTGAAAAATTTATAATTATTAAACCTGTTTAAGAATTGGAAAATTTGAAAAAAAAAAAAAAAGAAGTTGATTTCAACCAATATTTTAAAAATCGACCTAGGCATCGACACGAAAAAAGGAAGAGGATCAACAGTCAAAAAGTAGAATTGGGATCGAATCGGTTGTCAAATTAAATAAATAACTATACATATAAATGTAAAATATCATAAAAACAATAGATTTTTTTAAAATTTTAGTTTACTAATTTAAAGTAAATAAATATCTATATTTTTCTTAATTAAATTTATTATTGTAATTTATTTTTACAACTTAAAAAGCTAATAATTAATATGTAATAAATAATTTGATTTGTTAATGGAAATAATGAAATAAAATATTTATATTTAGAATTGAAACTCAATTTTACTTTATCCCACATCGAATGTCAATAGAAAATGATCACTCCTTTAAAAAAGAATATCATGATAGTAGAAGTCACTATTAGGCTTGCTAGTAAAAATAGGTGGCCTCAGGTTAGTTCAAAATTTTTATAGAACATTGATTTTTGTCCCTATTTTTTATTAATTTCGGATCGGATATCCGATAACATAGCAAATTAGATATGGATTTAATAGGGGAAAAATTCATAACTAAGGTGTATTCTGTACCACAATTCAAAAGTAAGGTAAATAGTTTGAAAATTCAAAAATCAGGTATGAATTTAATTAATTAAAAATATTTATTAAATAAAGATAATAAAGTCACATTTTGTGATTAATGGTTACATATTCATAATTATAAGTTACATATTTATTTACTGGTTACATATCTTCAAATATTTTGATCCCAGATTATTTCGAGGTCACAAATTATTTCGAGGTCACAGATTTTGAAATTAGTTGGTCACAGATTATTTTTGAGTCACATATTATTAAATTTTTAGGTCACAGTTGAGTAATTGGTCACAAATATTACCAAACATTTGGTCACATACTACTGCCGCTTGGTCACAGGTCACAGATCGACCAACACAAACTAACCAGCCACATGACGAAAATTGAACCCCAATAACAACAGATCCGCCACCACCAACAGCTAACCACCAACAATAAATCCATCACCAACGACTGCAAACATAAACAGCCAACCACCAATCTGCCGCCCCACAGATCCACCAACAGCAAACGACCGCCAATTCGCCACACCCACGGCGTCGAAGCAACACACCTGCACACCCCAACAGCGTCGCATAACACACCCACTACTACGCCACCGCAAAATCACAATCAAAAAAATCATCATCACAAACCACCACACCCACAACAGCGTCCGCTGCTCAGACGCTGCTGTGATTCGAGGAAATCGCAACAGCGCGTTGCTGCTGTGAATTGTAACAGAGGGATGGGGAGGTGGTAGAGACGAGGTGGAAGAGAGAAGAGAGGGGAGGGGAGGTGGAGGGGGCGAGACGGAAGAGAGAGGGGAGATGAGGGGAGGGGGTAGAGAGTGAAAAATTTGGATTAAGAATTTTTATATATCACCTGATTTTTTAAGATTGAAACTTGGTCTCTGATTTTTGAATTTGAAACTTTAAACACCAGCCTCCATGTAATTTCCTCATTTAATAATTAAATATTCGTTGGATTATCGGATCAGATCGGATAATTTTCTTATCGGATCGGATCGAATAGGCAGATCCTATCCATTTACAGCCCTAGTTACATCTAATAAGTTAAGTGCATATCTTGTACATGATAATCGAATGAAAAAACAGATTATTTTCTAGAATCTACGTTTGGCTACTATTAATTTTAATTCACATATTTCACATACCACTGCTCATTTCATTTGGGTGAAGTTTGTGAATTCCAACAAAAGAAGAAAACAATTGGTTCTAACTAATTATAGAATTACGAAAGAGTGAAGAAATTAAGGCTAATGCGTATATTCGACAGTTTGTTGCAGAATGGAAAAGAAAGACAGCCCAAATGATTACTTGTTCGTCACTCTTATTTGGTTGGTGCATTAGGTCTCCTGTTTGCAGAATATACACTGACAGCCCTCAATGGTGGTTGGCTTCCATACCCATTTTCCATCTTCTAATCCACCCACCCATATCTTTTAATAATCATAATTTCATTCTTTAATCAGCTGTCAATTTTTTTGGTATTCAATATTGACCGTAAATCTTGAAAATTTGTGTGAGAGACACGAACATGTTAAATGAAGTTCAATCGAGCATGAGATAAAATGAATTGATATAAAGAGGCTTAATTTCTCTAGCTCATAGCTTTCATATTGGGCTTCAGTGTGTGGGTGTGTTTGAGAGAGAGAGAGATAGAGATGACGGTGACGAAGGTGGTGGATGAATTTGTGCCGCACCCAGTGAAGGAGCAACTCCCCGGCATAGATTACTGCCTCACTAGCAACCCTTCATGGGGTATGTTCTTTACACACACTCATTTATATGCATGCACATATAAAAGGGTTCGAGTTAATCAGACAAACTGATGGTTTACTTTTTGTGGGTCTTGAACTCTGCTTCATACTTGCATTTTATATAGTCTTTACGTTCTGGAGCTAAACTCAATTTCTTAATCTTATTCTTCATTTTCTAACTTATATACTTCACTGAAATTCAGCTGTTTTGTTTGTTTCATCCTGTAATTGGGTCGTCCAGGAATAGAAGGAATGAACAATTTATTTTGGGATTTCTATTGCAACAAAATATGAATGGCAATTTTAATATGAAGTTAGTTTGGAAACATTGAATTGGGGTTTGGAATGGGAAATCATGTAAAATCTGTTTCGATTTTTACTGGAGTCGCATATTATTACAATCTCAATGCGTCAATTAAATATCAAAAAGCTGACATGATATTTGTTCTTAATGCAGCTGAAGCCTTTATTCTGGGATTTCAGCACTACCTAGTAATGCTCGGGACAACTGTTATCATTGCCACCATCATTGTTCCTTATATGGGTGGTAGTAACGTTAGTACTTAACAATCCATTAGCTTAATTTAATATGCACATTAATTTGTTCGTTCACATGATTCTATAGCAAAAATCTTAAAGAATTTGAAGTCTGTATCACGTTACTCTGTACCAGGTGGAGAAGGCTCAAGTGATACAAACTTTGCTCTTTGTTTCTGGAGTGAACACACTCTTGCAAACATGGTTTGGCACCCGGCTTCCAGTAGTGATAGGCGGTTCATTCAGATTCATAATTCCTTCTCTTTATGTTGCATTTGCGCAAAGATATTACACATACCCCAATCCTATTGATGTTAGTTCACAAAATACCCTCTTAATTTCCGTATTCCATTGTTGCAACTTGTATGCTTATAGTCTTATTTATGTATTTACTTATTCACTCATTTCCTTTTGTTAATATCTGAAGAGATTTAAGAAAACAATGACGGCAATACAAGGGGCTCTCATGATTGCATCGGCACTTCCCATGATTCTTGGTTTTCTGGGGATATGGAGGATTATTGTGAGGTAAGATAGCTGGAAAAATAGAAGATTATATTTTGCTTTGAAGTATTTGTTGCTATTTTTTGTGGAATTAATATCTCAATCTCTTGGATCTAACAATGTAGATTCCTGAGCCCTCTTTCTGCCGTTCCTCTGGTAACACTTGTGGGACTTGGGCTCTATGAACAAGGTTTCCCTCTGGTATGAGCACTTCCTTCTAAATCCTACAATTATTGTGAGCATAACTAAGAATACAGTATTATTCTTTGGAACCAGGGGAAAATTTATAAAGGAATTTTATTTATATATTTGCCCATTTTAAAATTTTTTAGGCCACCCTAATTTGAAAATCTATATCTGCCCTTGTTTGGTACTGCAAGTTGTGTGTGTATATATATATATATATATATAGATATATATATATATATATATATATATATTGAATTATTAGGATATTCAGATTTGGAAAAGGTTAATGACTTTCAATACTAAAATCCCAATATCAAGGCCTCTATTCTAAGCTGCCAAACTTACAATTCAAGGGGCTATTGCTTATAGGAGTTTCAAAAAGTGGCTGTAGTGTGCTCTACCAAGATGAACTTGCATTCTGTGACACACTTCCTTGTAAGCATTAAGAAGAGAAAGACCGCTAGATTGTCCATGCATTATATCATTCATAAATAAACTGAATGTGTAGCTGCTATTCATAATATATGTTAAAGTGGATGCTACCTGTATTAAGGCCAGGAATTCGTACATTATATTTCTTTTGTGGTCTTCTTCTATTTTACGGAACTTCTGTTTAAAAACATTCATTTGCTTACTAACATGTCTTTTCTGTTCATTGATGCCTGCAGCTGGCAGAATGTGTTGAGATAGGGCTTCCAGAACTAATTATTTTAGTTTTGCTATCTCAAGTAAGTAGTGTTCTGGATTTTGGTTCTCATCACAGGCTCGTCCTTAGTCACTTCCCTTTCTGGGTGCTATATAATACTTTTTTCTTTGTGGCAATTAGACAGCTTATTCATTTTAGTTTTTGCTCCAAGCATCGTAATTTTAAGTTTTTAGAATTGGACTTCATGCTGATCAACATCTCTTTGCAGTTCGTCCCTCATATGTGGAAATCTAAGCTTCCCATTTACAACCGTTTTACTATCCTAATTTCGGTAGGATTGGTGTGGGGATTCGCAGCCGTTCTTACAGCAGCTGGTGCATACAAAAATAAACCCCTCAAAACACAGTTAAGTTGCCGTGTTGATCGCTCTGGACTTGTAAGTGGAGCGTCGTGGTACGTTCTACTACCAACTTATTATCAGATTTCTCATTCTCAATTCCTGCATATCTAAAACATAAATGTGGCATTTAAATTCAGGTTTGACTTCTTTTTCATTATGTTAGTATTTCAATCAATTGTGTTATATTCTCAACAGTCTTTTCTTCTTGAAAATCCATTTCATCAGTGTAGTGTCTGATTTAGTTGCTGTTTTTACCATCTTAGCCTTTAAAAGTTCAAATCCCATGTATTTGCAAGTATAATCACGTTTCATAAATTCTGCAATTGTTTGCCATCCTTAAATTACTTATTCATATTTTGAACTTCATGTCTTATTTTTCTAAGTTCCGTCTTATTTAACGTAAAATTTTGTCACTGTGTTACAAAACAAATAGGCCTGAAACTGGTATCTAGCAATCTATTGTAGCCTAGAAATTCAATTAAACTTAGTCAGCAGTTTTATGGCCAACGCAGATCAATTTGTTAATTACTAGTATATAACAAGTCAGTGTGAAAATTGTCATGGAATTAACAACTAAATCTCACTTTACTGAAGCAGATAGCTTTGAGTATAAAACAAGACGAGTGTGAAAATTGTCGTGGAAATAACTACTAAATCTGCCACTAAACCTCACTTTACTGATGCATCTAGCTTTGAGACTTTTTGGTTTGTTATCTTGTCCGTGTATTCGCATATTGAAAAGTTAAATCACCTCATTAAATGCTCTGGTTTTAATCCATGTTTCTGCTTCTTCGTTCCAAATACTCATTTAACTTCTCAACATGCAGGATAAAGTTTCCATACCCATTTCAATGGGGTTCCCCCGATTTTCATGCCGGAGAAGCTTTTGTAATGCTGGCAGCAGCTTTTGTTGCTTTGATTGAGGTTTGTATTGTCTATCACAATATAGCCCGTCGCTTGAAAAGTTGCTAATTTCCTTTTTATTTTATTTTCCCATTTTTGCCCCTTCGAGGGGTCATATTTTGGAATAACTTTGTGCCTTTGGTACATATTTAATATTCCTGTCAAGAAATAGTAGTGTATGTTTGATAGGGATGGGACAGGACAGGACGACGGGAATGGACTATCAAATTAGAAAAAGACATTAAAATCATGTTCACTGTATTGTCTAGTACTTTGCTATTGTGGTAAACCTATTTCCCTGGATCCAAATAATCATTTAGTTTATTTTAATTGTTGTTATGGCAGTCTACAGGTGCATTTATTGCGGCTTCAAGATACTGTGGTGCCACACACATACCAGCTTCTGTTCTTAGTCGAGGCGTTGCCTGGCTGGTAGGAAGTGAACTCATGACAAATCATTATTTTTCTTTCTAGATTTCCACTTAGTATATATCTGTTCTGACTCACTATTTTTTTTTTGTCTCTGAGATGCAGGGAATAGGAATTTTTATTGATGGTTTATATGGTTCAGCAGGTGGATCTACTGTATCAGTGTAATATTACTAATCTACTCAGAAATTAGATGAACTGTAGGCTTCTACCTGCTTAGACTAGTTACAGTTGTCCCGCTTGATGAATTTGTTGGGCATTAAGTAGGAAAATTCAGTCGTAGTCATATCCCAATTCTAGCATTTCTAAATTTTTATCTTTCACTTTCTTTCTCGCCTGTGTAATCTAATTCGTTCTTGCTGTATGTATAGTGAAAATATTGGACTCTTGGCATTGACACGAGTTGGAAGTCGAAGGGTGGTACAGATATCAGCATCTTTCATGTTTTTCTTTTCCATCTTTGGTGCGTTATGCCACTCTATCTATGTTGTTTTACACAATATTCAACTATTCGCCATCCCATAATTAATTCTACCAATTCAAGTTTTCCAAAATCAACTTTTAAGTTTGTAGTTTGATTGCTGTTAGGACTCATGGGGGCATACCTTGTTGATAAACAGGAAAATTTGGAGCGATCATTGCTTCCATTCCACTGCCAATTGTTGGAGCTTTGTATTGTGTCCTTTTCGCCCTTATGTGTATGTACCTCTGCAATTTAATCTAACAACTCGCTGCTGATTTTATGGTGTTATATAACAAAATATGGACTGATGGATTAGATCATCAGATATTGGATCGGTATAATCACGTAACATAGTTACTGGCTTCTTTTAGGACTAAAAAAATTGCTTTCTTGGCACCATTTATATTCTCAGATTATTACTTTCTATAATGTATGTGGCAGCTTCTGCTGGTCTTGGTTTACTACAGTTCTGCAACCTCAACAGCTTCAGGGCAAAGTTCATTATAGGCTTCTCATTCTTCATGGGTCTTTCGGTACCCCGGTACTTCAGCGACTACGTGATTACTTCTGGTCATGGTCCAGTTCACACGAATGCAATATGGGTACGTGTAAATTAGACTTCAAGAATATGATTAGTGCACAATATTGGATTAGACCGACACTATAATGGACACGGCCTTTAACTTCTTTATCTTCATTAATATTGTTCAATATTGTCTAGTGTGCCTTATCAGATGTACCGTAAGTGGTCTACTTCATAGTAATTTTAACTCCTAAATTTCATGTGCAGTTTAACAAAATAATGCTGGTGATCTTTACATCCCCAGCCACTGTGGCAGGGCTTACTGCATTGTTCTTGGACGTCACTTTAGCACCTAAACATCCCTCAACAAGGATAGATAGTGGGAGGCATTGGTGGGCTAAATTCAAGTATTTTGGTAAAGATCCAAGAAGTGAAGAATTCTATTCTCTCCCTGTTGGACTTTCTAAGTACTTCCCTTCAATTTGATCATGGGAATCGTCACACAATAAAACCGTACGAGAAATTCTAAAGAACTTACAGTATATATAGAATCCATGGAGAATGTTCATTCTAGAGAAAGCTCACAACGTATACAATAGAGATTATTATTTGCAGTGGCATTCTAAGGGAAACAGAAAAAGACTGAAAAAAATATTGAATTGGTTAGTTTTTACTTTTTAATCAAATGCTTATTAATATATAGACTGTAAAGTATTTACGAACACATGCCAAAATTCTGTATCTTGATATTATTGAATTATCTCATCTACCTCGTAGTTAGCTAATAAATTTTGGCTTTTCTTAATCATGTCTAATTGTGTTCCATCCAGTATATCAAAATGGATGTGTTAAAGAACGTGCAGTTAACAAGTACGTAAGAGTTGTGAATTTTATGGAATATATGGATAAAAATAAAATGTGACCCACTTACAAGAAATTATGAACTTTGACAAAAGCGCTCTTAGATTCACTAATATCAAATTTAAAGTTTTGTCAAAATGGACTGTACACAAAGCAGAAGGTACAGGAACTGCAAGCTGCTGTTTAAGAGAACATTGCAACCAATAAATTTGGTTAGAAAAAGACCAAGAAATCGAACATTGCTCGAATGTCGAAGCATATTACTTACGCTAAACTCTGACATTAATTTGTGATTCACCAGAATCTTATTACGTATATTCAACAAAAAAACGAGTACGAAGTGTTTTTTTTTTATGTTAAAAATTCCTCGTTGATTCTTCCTGTCATTCCTTTTATCTTGAGCATTTCACTTGAAATGCCTTGCATTCTTTTGGATCTTATATCCAGAGTTTGATACATTTGAGTACCAATCCATTCTAGCAAAAAAACACCACCCCCATGAACACATGCTTTTAGTTAGTTATAGTGTTATAACTATATAAATCTAGTACATAGTTTCAAACACAGCAGTGAGACAAGACTTCACTTTTTCTTAGTTGTAAGAAAGTATAGCCTATGATAGGATCCAAAAATTAAATAATTTACTAATTAATTAACGATATTTGTATATCATTTCTCAATGTGTCTATACGTACATATATGGTAAGGTGGATGGCGGCAATGCAGCTCCGAACTGTACACTTCAGCATTCATCCACAAGACAAAACTCTGTATTAGACTAGACACCACCACCACCACCACCACCACCACTAATACAATCGCCACCATCATCTGCCATTGACGACCACCGCCATTGATGTGTTAATACCATTGTGCAAATAAAACCAGTGTAGTTGAACTCAACAGTTAAACATTCATTTGTGCTCAAAATTCTTGCCTAGGACAAGCTGCACATAATGGATTTAAAAATACTGAATAATCCTTTAATATTCATTTAACACTTAAACGAAGTAACTAATGAACTCATTTGTAAATGAGCCGAGCTTGGGTACCAGGCTTTGGTTCACAGGCCGGTACCCGGCTCTCTCACATTGGGCGGGGTGGGTACATTTTTGGGAGGTTTTTTAATTGAGGTGGGTCCGCATCGGACCCACCTCATTGTGAGGGGTAAACTAGAAAAATCCTTTGTAAATAGCTATAATGGATATATACAAATCGAACCACCTATCCATCATGGCCTGACATTCTTTCGGGCTGTCCATTGGAGCTAAATGACCTCTCTCCTACAAAGTACAACTTAGCAGAGTTTATACTATAATCACCTATTAATTATTTCATAATTTCTTCAATACGTAAGTGCGAGAAAAAGCATAGTTAAAACTTCACTTGCCTTCACTGTGGCAAATGTGAGATTTAATTTCTCGTTCTTGTATCTCTCCGTGTATCTACAAGGGAGATAAATTTTAAGTGTCATATTTCTGAGAATATTTGTGAGTATGTGTGTATTTGTTCAAGAATTGAATACCAACCCTGCAACTTGGTCATTAACAAACCGAGGTCTCCAGTCGTCATCAATGGTAAGATTCAAATTGCGAATCCATTTTAAAGCACCCATACAAGGAGCTATCATGTCGTGATCACCTCTGGAAAGAAAAGAGAGACTTGTGATGAAATTTCTTAGTTGTCGTACTTTACTATCCCGTCCAAAATACAAGAAGCGGTGAATCTGACTTTAATTATATGCTTGTGATAGTAGTTGTGTCCGAGTTTCATTTAAAGTTCTCCGAACACTATGTTAAATGAAAGTGAGCAACTGTAGAGTTTAGAATGCAGTGAACGAATGATTATTACAACTATAATGCGGAAAATATAAACCCCCAAATTGTAAAACCGAACAAAAAAGACTTAAAACTTTGTCAACACTACTAATGGAGTTCATATGACGTTGAGCTCGGATTGTTGCCATACCGGATCATGCACCGTCGTCCATGGGAATGGCAATGGATATACCCAGGGGCGGACCCAAAATTTTTTTTCAGTGCAGGCGGTATTAGTAAAAGTAAAAAAAAAAAAATTACAACGCAAACATTATACTAAAATGAAATACGTTACCAGTGGAAAACCTCTCTATAGTCATAATGTGGACCATATTAATTTATTACTATGAGGAAGTTATAGCTTAATAGAGGTGTAGTTACAAAATTATAAAGGTAAAGTATGAACTATGTTAATAATTAATTAAGAGCATGTCAAATCTAGGGTATAGACATTGATGAAAGAGATAGATATAATTTCAAGAACTAGTACATGTATCTATGTAGAATATGTAGAGTTCATGGTATATGTAGATAATCAGCTAGCTGTGACCAAGTTGGGACCAAGATTATTTTATATCACTATAGAGAGGTCTTACTGGAACATGAATTTAAAAAATTGAATCGTCAGATTTTATAAGTTCGTGGTATATGTAGATAACACAATCATATGGTGATCCAATACATGTCACCCAAGGAAAGATAAAGATGAAGATAATCACCTAGCTGTGCCTTTCATCTGGGATGACAACATACGGACGAAATATGCCATAGAAAAAAGAGCTACTTAACATATTTTAAGATCCAGGAGTTGTCAAATACTCCAAAATTGAAAACTGACTGAAGGTTTAGGTACTAAACAGAGTAGCACAATATCCAATTATCTGTGGCAAGGAATGATAACTTTGGCATTGTAAATTGACTATGAAAAATGCAGCAATAAGGATAATTAAGAGAAGAGGTATTTAGGAATTAAAATGGCATAATTAAGATAAGAAAGCTCTCTATCTTTTCTAAACAAAATCCAGAAGCAGCAAAAGGACAATATAGACAATAAGCAGATGTAGTGTAAACATCAACAAAGAGAAGCTCAATCTCTTAAATAAAAGACAGTAATCAGAAGAAATACTTGAGTAGCCAAATCTAGCAAGATGCACTTTCTCAGATCAATAATTTGACTAACATTATTTTAAAACTCCAGTTAACAACACAAAAATACAGTGAACAAAAACAATAAATTCACCAAATTTTACCTATCACAGTCTCTACAGCCAATAGCACTACAGCAGATGCCAGATTAATACGAATTGAAATTACAGAAAACTCACCTACCGCTACCGACTCGGTAACCGAATCCGATGAACGCTGGCTGCTGGGCCTGGTTCTGTGGTTCAGGGGACGTGCGAGTCTGCGACGGTGCGTGGATGCAGTGGCCGGTAGATGCAGGGGCTGAGGGGGCGTGCGTATTCTCTGTTGATGCAGGGGCCGGTGTAATGTAATGGATTAGAAATTGCAGGGCTTGTATCATACATTTTGGGCCAAATTGGCCCACTTGTTTTTTTTTTGTATTGGGTTGCTTAAAAACTTGGGGTGGCCCAAAGCCCAGTCGAGGCATCTGCCTGCACTGGGCCTTAACTGGGTCCGTCTCTGGATATACCATTTATTGAGATGGTAAAACATATTAGTATTTTTGATCTTTTAGTGAATCTTATCTATTACATTCCTTTTTTTTTTTTTTTGTCAATTTTACCAAACTTGCAACACTTCATAAATTTAATTAAATAATTTGTACATTTTAATTCAACATTCTAATCAAATTGAATACTTTCAAATCTAATTAAACCTAAACACTCTAAACCTAAGAACCTAACCATAGAAATAATCACAATAATTAAAATATAAAGGATGCTTGCTAGGGCGTGTAGGCACTCGGGTTCCATTTTGGGAAAATTACATAGATCAGGTGTTTAAACTTCAAAGTGCAAAAATCAGGTGTGAATTTTTTTTAATCAAAATTCAAGTAATTTAATATTATACCACCGAAACCCTAATTTCATTTCATCCTCCTCACTTTCCCCTCATTCCCCTCTCTCCCTCGTCTCTCTCTGCCTACTGTGTGACTCCCCTTCCCCCTCGTCTCTGTCTGCTTGATGTGAACGGCGACGCTGCTGTGAATGATGGCAACGTCGCGACTCTGTTGTAGTTCACAGCATAATATAGCGGCTCCGCCTCCATTCCGCCTCCTCCCTCCCTCATCTCTCTCTACCTGCTGTGAACGGTGGCAACGTCGCAACTATGCTGCAGTTCACACCGTCGTGAACGGTAGCCGCGTCGCGATGCTGTCGTGTGCAAAGCTTCCTGTGGGACGCTTCTGTGTGCAAAGTTCCTGGTGGGTGTGTGTATGATGTGGGTGCGTATGGTGGTTTTGTGGTGAGGGCGGCGATGGTGGTTGTTATTGTTGGTGGTGTGGTACAGGGTACAATGGTGGTCGTGTTTGTTTACGGTGGTTGCGTTGGTGGTGGTGTGAGATATTGATGGAAGTGAAACTGTCGTGGTGGTAGGGTTGTGGTGTAGTGGTTGCAGATTTGACAGGGTATGTTGGATCTGATGGTGATGGAGGCGATGGTTGGCTTGGGCACGATGTTGTGTGTGGTCAAGGTGTTGGATCTTGATCGGAGATGGAAGTGGTGTGTTGGTTAATTTGTGACGAACAATTTTATTATTTGTGATCTAAAAATTATATAATCTGTAATAGTAAAAGAATCCGTGGCCAACTAATTTGAAAATCTGTGACTGTGTGACCTATAAATT